GTGAGAATCAGCAATATAACTTCTAATATTTCTGAAGAACATATTTTGGCTGAAGATAAAATAGCATATTTAATGCGAACAAGGGTGATAGTAAGCAATCTTGCCTAACACCGGTCTTTACCTCGGATGAGTCGGTGAGTTGTCCTTCATGCATCATTTTGCAGTTTAATCATTCGTAAGAATTCCGTATGATGTTGACTATTTTCTCAGGCACGCCGTAGTATCAGAGAAGCCTCCATGGTGTTGTTTTAACTACGGTATCAAGTGCTTTCTCGTAGTCATTGAAGTCGATGTAGTGTGATGAATTCCATTCAATTGATTTTCCACAATGATCCGCAGTATTGCGATTCGGTCTGTACACGATCGAGCCTGATGATCTCGAAGTTGGACTTCTACGGAGCTTCTCATTCTGTTTAACCATACCCTGTTGAAGACTTTTCCTAGTAGTGAGAGAAGAGTGATGCCTCTGTAAATCTCACACTTGCTGATATCGCCTTTCTTTGGTATTTTGATCAAGTGTCCTTCTTTACAGTCTGTTGTACTTGTTCTTTACCCAAAATCTTACTGAAAAGAATATGGAGTATCTTTGCAGTTGCTGCAACGTCTGATTTTTCTTAAACAAAACCTTCTATCTATGATTAATTTGTGGTAGCTTTATTTTCTGTATTTCTGAATGGATTTTAGAAATTATAATAATTGTATATTTTATCTATTTGCTTGCATTGTAGGCAACTGATAACATTCCGTCTTCTGGATTATGGTCCGAACTGTGTTGTTTTTATGCTGATGTAAATGAATGTCCTGATCATATTATGTGTTATCCTTAATCCAACTGTCACTGGAATGTCCCTACCATGCCCAAGAGGTATTAGTGGATGCAGAGTTACTGCATACTTTTTGTCCAATACGCGTAGAACCTGTTCAAAACGTTCGCTTCTTTTGTCATGCTCCTAATCACTTAAAGCTGATCCGAAAAAGAAAGTACGTATGAAAGCTTATTAAAACTTTCTGAAACATTCATAGACTTTGTAAAGTGCCTGAAAAACTTTTTGACACCGACTAGTGATAGAAATCCGTTGTTACGTAAATCAAAGGAAACTATTTGAATCTTAGTTTTGTAACTTGATAAACTATGATAATTAGAAATATCAATACTGATTCGGTGTCTAATAATTCCAGAAATAGAGCAATTTAAGCCAGGTAAAACTAGGAAAGCACAACCGGACGCATTATATTTGGAGTTCTTAATAAGAAAGCAATCAAACACAAAAAAATCACCAGTTAGTACGAATACCACATAAAAGTAGGATAAAAAAGTTTAAAACCAGAGTAGAAAACGATTTCAGGTGTATTAGTGTTTTGAGTACTAAGCAAACCTTACAAATTCATAGGAAGAAATAAAATTTATCCGTTTACAGGAAAACTATGAATTGTCATGGTAGATGTTCTGCTATTGTATGTTGTTTCCCACCATATGCATAAAGTGTCACAAATAGAGAAAAACGTGGCCTTTATTTTCGTCGTCACAAAGTTGCTGAATATACTTATCACCATAAAGTAGATAGCCGGTCATTAATTGCTGATCCATCGAACGTGAAGAGAGCTTAATGGTGATACCTTCTAGTCATTCTCTCAATAATATCACCTTATGTTTTCAGTGGGCTATTAACAAAAAATATCATTCTGTCTAACTAATTCTCAATCATAGGCTAGTCACGAGTCAGAACCTTATATGTATGTAAGTCGGTTCGGGTTGCCACACTTCATTAAAACAGAGAGATGACATTGTCAGGCCGTCTTAGAACAGCTAAAGTAGTAACAGTATGTGTGTGACTAAAAAGTTTAGACTTTTAATATACGACTCATTAGTGTAGAAATTGGTGAAAAAAACACGGAAAACGTTGTATGGAATTTAAAAGTCCGGAATTTGAATGAAGACAAATAATGGATGTACCTGGACAACTTCAAACGATCTTGAGCCATTCCATTCAAATTCTTCGACCATTGGTTACGGTAATCACGCGGACTACTACCCTATTGTGCACACATATTAACATGACTCGATCCAATTGTCAGTAACTCTGTGGATTGGTGTCATGTTTTGCCTCGGTCACCATTGCTTTCGTCCAGCCCGTTCCTACACTAGACATCACCTGTCGAGGTAGGCGGTGGTTGATCATAGGTAACACGTATCCGAACAAACTTAGATGATGAAGATTTACCAAATCGTCAATCGATTTTCCATCTTCCTACCAAAAACTTTATTCGTGCCCTCGAAATTGCTAACCTGGTTATCTCAGGATACACGGACAAGGCTTCGATGACACCTATTATCTAATACCTCCAAATATTTTATTCCTAATGGTTCTGTTGGACGCTCACAAGGTAAGGTTGAGCGAACTGCCGAGCAGCAAGGTCGTCCTTCGGTTAGAAAACATATATCTCGCCTACACCATGAGAGAAGCAATTATCCAAGAGTCAATAGAGCCTCCTAAATTCGTCCTAGGATTTCGTCAGGCATTGAACGATCAGAAATGATAAGTGAAGCAGTCGGCGTGTTTAACTTCTTCATTCTCGATTATTAAATTGAGAGCCTACTCAATCTAATCTGGAAAAGACATTTTGAATTTGGAGGGAGAGAACTGCAACACAATCATGCTTGAATTATTATCCAAAGTGGACAGTGTGGACAAGAGAACATCATTGAAACTTCTTCAACAATATGGAATTTCTGAAAAAATTGCCAGCATTATTCAGAACTCATACGACGGTTTACAGTGCAAAGTCGTACATGGAGGACAGCTAACAGATGCATTTCCAGTAGGGACCAGAGTCAGACAAGGCTGTTTGCTCTCTTTCTTCCTCTTTCTTCTGGTGATTGACTGGATTACGAAGACCTCGATATCTGATGGGAAGCACAGAATACAATGGTCATCTCAGAATCAATTAGACGATTTGGAAAAGCAAGGACCGTATTCCTACAATTGAAGAACATATGGAACTGAAAACAACTGTCAACTAATTTCAAACTGATAATCTTCGATACGAACATCAAGACAGACCAACTTTACGGAGCTGAAACTTGGAGAAATACTACAACCATCGTCAAGAATGTACAAGTATTTATAAATAGTTGTCTTTGCAAAATACTCAACATTCACTGACCGGATACCATCAGCAACAGCTTTTTATAGGAGAGGACAAACCATCTTCCACCTGAGGAGGAAATTAGTAAAAAGCATTGGAAGTGTATAGGACACACATTGTGAAAATCACCAAACTACATCACGAGGCAAACCCTAACTTCAAATTCTGGAGGAAGTGTAAAGAACAAATTATACCGGGAAATAGAAGCAGATATGAAAAGAATAAATGTTAACTAGAAAGAACTGGAGAGGATTGCCCAGGACAAAGTTGGATGGCCAATGCTGGTGTGCGGCCTATACTCCTCCGCAAGAGGCAACAGGCGTAAGTAAGAAAGTAATTGGGTAAGCGCTTCTAAGTTATACTGTACAGATGTCTTGAATATATATGTCATTTGATGATCATCGTATATATGTATTCAAACTGTTGTAGCAAGGAATAGAGATTATGTGCAGTGATGTTGCGGAGAAGAAGTGCCGTTAGTAATTTTCGAGGGGGAATAGGACCCAAAGATTTATTAATTTAGTCTGCCTCAGATGGAAACTAAACTGAACATAAACAACGTATAAAGTTAAGCCCGAAAAAACTTCCACTGTACGGAAGATGTGTTTTGTAAGTCCTTTGTAAAAACGATACCTTTTTGATACTATAGCTGGGAATTTTTCAACGAAAATAGTTGCGTTGATGTTTAGTGAACGATAAGAATGACAAAAAATGTACCCAGGTAGAAGAAAAGATCGTGATCTTTTAAATAGTTTTATCCTATTACTGATGAAAACTCCACAGAAAACGTTGTACTAGTAACTTACAAGCGCGTTTTTAGCTGCATCAGAAAGAGTCACCGACTTATATTTAATAAATTCACTTAGGTTGTGGCAATGATGCTAGTGATACCACGCGTATTCGGAGTTTGACATTGCCTTACACTTAAAGCCTTTATTATCGAAGTATACGAATCCAGTAAAATCAGAAGTCGGAAATGAAGGAGTTTGAACACACATTTGGAGGACTACTGACATATAGAGAAGCGTTAAGTCTGTCCTGGCTAACAGTTGGACGGGATGTATAGCGGGGCGTACCCACTGGTGATCTAGTGTGGTTGCGTTTTCGAGCGCCTTCAGCTAGGTGTGTCCAGTAAATCAATGTTGAGAACTTACAGAAGTATTTTCAGATTGTTCTGATCATATAATAATTTTATAATTGACTGTTGTCGATTACTTCTATGATCAAATGTAAGTATAATGTATGTGCTTAATCAGTCACTGTTCACTTCACTTCCAAATTCTTCCGTATTCTGTCATTCATACACCCTCAGTACACAATGTACATTCGTGCTGGACGCAATCAAACATTGGACGTCACATTCTTATGAACTGTGCTTATTGGAGTCCCCCAGGGTACAGGTTTTGGGCCAGTGTTATTCCTCTTGTACGTAAAAGACCTCCCTCGTCTACTATCGTCATCAGTCTGATTTTGTATTCGTGCATCCTAAACTTGAGTACTGCATACAAGCGGCTAGCCCTGCCTAAAAAAGACAGTGAGATCTTGGAAAGGGTTCAGAAAACAGCGACTAAGCTAAATCCCGTAATAGTGATGAAACTAGACTGACCAGGCTAAACCTATTCTCTCTGTCAAATCGAAGAACCAGAGGCGACTTGATTACAGTTTTCAAATTACTTAGTGATAAATTTGCACCTTATATGCCCTCATTTTTCCTATCTTCCAAAACAGAAGATTAATGAGAACACTTCAAAAAAGTTTACAAGCTCCTTCCACACTGAAACTGGGACCAATTGTTTTAGGTCATTTGAGGATTGAAATCACGGCGCCCGTTTCTACTCTTGCGTTTCAGTCAGATGGGCGAGGACTTGAAGTCAGAAGACATACTTGGATTTAAACTTGATAGGTGTATTTCAGATACCTTAATTAAGACAGGTTCGATATGACATTTTCTAAAACGGCCCCTAGGTGCTGGTTTATTTGGGGGAATCATATTTTCCGTAGTGCTTGCTAAAAGTAAGTTCCCGTATTGTATAACTTGCCTAGGGCGTCCTTGGCCGCTTATTTTCGGGACTGGTTTTGGTCTCGGAATGGGAATCTCCAATTGTAATAACGATTTTAAACAACCACTTCCTTTAGTTTCTCACCGTATTGTGGTAAGTTTTTCAGGCCTTCATTTCGGATCGTTTCAGAGTTCAAATCAAGTTCCGGAGGAAAAGAAAAGCTCATAGTACTATGGCACAACCCTTCTAGTCTGTATTTAAACCAAATTGTTTTTCTAGAAATGACCTTCGACCAGTAGATTGTTATGTGAATAAAGCTTATTGTAAAACTCCAAGTTCTGTTTAGATTTAATTAGTATTATTATAAATATGTTGGGAGTGCATGTATGGGTTTTTTTTCTATCTTAACTACACTAGGCAAAGTACGTGTCATTTATAAATAAACCTCATTTTATCCATAGTTAATCTGCCAAAATTATTTCAACAATTAATTTTAGCTGGTTTTGTTTTTGATCATTTTCGATTCATTGTTACGTTTTTGTTTAATATGTTTCTTCTACAAACCATGTAGACCAGCAGGTCATCAAAGGCACTGTTCTGATGTTGATATTTTACAATCCGGTGACATGATAGCTTGTAATGGACTCTTAAGTAAGATTATTTTAACTCACCTAAGCTACATTACCTAGGTTTTAATAATGCTTAAACGCATAATGCAAGTGCAGAAAATATATTCGACCGAACTTGCCTTAACATCAGATGCAAACTCAGATTTATGTATTAAGGGCAGAAGTTTGAAAGCATGATTTCTACAGGATACTTCTACATGTTTAGTATTCTCCTGAGTAGGCTCAACAAAGGTACCCATATCATGTTCTCCAGTAGTAGGTTGTAACAGTCGATTATTCAGTAGGGGAACCTGCGCTCCACCGGTATATGGTCCGTTTTGGGCCCTTGCAACCTCCTGTCTTTTTCTCTGATACTTTCTTATTTAGAAAGAAAAAAGTAATATCTGACTTAAAACCTACACTTGTTATCTCATACATCATTTTCAGTTGCCTCAATTAACAGCAGGTTGATAGAAGACATCTAAGCCCTCCTGAAACTTCGTTGTTTTCGTTCAGCTGAACGCTTCTGAGAATTTGCGTAGCCTTTTAATGGGAGTTAACAGTGTATATACCGTTTTCTAATTTGAATCTCACCATTTCTGTATGAAATATTGGGCTCCTGTTAAAGGTTTTGGTGCATTTTGTAGGCTAAGGAGAGCCTTGACAAAGTCAGAAAGTCTTCCCCCAATTTTACATACCACAAGTAAGATCCAAACAAGGAAACTGCGGGGACTGAAATTTCCAGAACACCGTAGGATCTGGTGCACATTCTTACTGGTTAAATATAATCTCGAAGCGATTAGGACAAAGGTAAATGGTTCGTGCACATTCATAAAACTGTATTTTGTTATAAACGTCCTTGACTCCTATACAATAGTTGATTCCTTATATGTATATGTGTATGTGTAACGCATCCTAACCTGTTCATTCGACTAACGTGTAGCAACCAATTTATCATCACCACTTAGTGCTCTATTCATAACTTAAACACCACAGTATCCCCACTATACTTGACAAGTGTTTCAGAAACATATGTGACCAAACAGAAGCAACATATGTACGTCTTCTTTTTCTCAGAACCGTTTTAGTAATACAATGTATGTTGCGCTGTGTTCTCTCTGGTAATAAACAGGACTTTCATTTCACTGGTGTTGTAGGTTAAGAAAATCTAAAAAGGACTTGTATCCTTGTTGACATTTTGTCAGTTCCCAGAGTACTACGGTCAATAAGACCCCCGAGGTCATTGCTGTTTTGCACACCCACCTGGTCTATTATCAAGCAGCAAACCCAGTTAGGTTGACTCAAGAGATCATCAGGGATGGTAGTAAAGTACTATCAGCTAGATAGATTGAGGCATTTTCATAGCTATATACACAACTTTGAACCCAACCGTTTTAATAAAGCTAGTGATAATAATTAATTGTCCAGACTAAAGTAGACGGTACTATGTTTGAAATAAAAACTTAGATATTACAATTGTAATATGTAATTAGTTTGCCCATTACGTGATGAACATTTTAGTAAAATAGTTATGAAACGTCCAAGTTATTTCATTCAAATGTTGATGATATAATATTGAAAAAATACGTGATTGATTAAGCGAAGAACAATATATAGTTCTGTTAATTTATGACTGATATCCAAGGTGTCCCACTTATTGTACTCTGGTGTATCCTGTTTGATTATTGAGCACATGAACGTAAGGTTTACGTTCAAATTATACAGCTTGAATAAAAATTAGGTAGCTGATCTTCCTTAAGGTGGGTGCTCTTGTCTATGTCCATTAGATTAGGGATTCCCAGAAACTGGGACTAGTAAACATCTTGAAGTAGATCGCACACCCACAAACCTGTTGTCTTGTTCCAGAAAAGAGCATTGTGAGCTTTCGTCTTTTTAAATTTTGTAGTTAAGAAATTATTAAGGTGTTTAAAATCAACAGGTTGATGATAATCTTATTCTATACTAGTGATAAGGTTAGGAGTACCTTAAAGATTATTTCGTTTTTCGATCTAGCTATTAATTATAATATTCTAATCGAAGTTGGAGGAGGGGAAATGTAAGTTTATTATCTTGAAAAATTACGTTTTAGCCTCCAGGCTATTACGCTACTTAGGTCATAGTGGTCACTTTTTTGCAGCCCGCTATTAAGTTTATATTTGAAGAGATTTTACTTAGTAAGGCTATACAGGACTGAAATTCATTGAAAAAAAGGTTCCCTGTACTATATTTCTTTAATTTTAGTATTCCAGTTGCCAAGAGGATCACAAGCTTTTCATGATGCAGATCACTGCTGATTATTTTAATCATGTGTTTTAGGAAGTGGTTTATTCTTTTAGACTTATTCAAGTCTTGTTCTGCGCATGTATTTTCGTAAGCTTAACTTCCGTCCTGCTTTAACTATACTTTTAAATGAATCTGCTAATTTCGCCCTCCATATCTCGCACAACTTCCTTAGACTCGTGTTGGATGTTTGGTTATTTTTTAGTTGTTAACTATAGTTTTTGAGTGCTGGTAAATTTTATCCATATTGTAATTATTTTTTAAAAGGTTAGCTGTTGGTCGACCCGAAGATGAATTAAGGCAGATATTTCCTGGGAAATATGTGGTTTTACGGTACGAAGGTGTTCAAATCGATTAGTTCGGTCAGTTCACAATCTCTTGCCTACGGCAACAAGTTTATTCCTATGGGTTGCTACAAACAGCTTTCTAAAATATCTGTTGAAACCAAGGAAAGTCAGGATTCAAAAAAAGACTTGCCACCCTGGCCTTGTCACAACCCTTATTCGTTTCAGCACTCTTCAAACATCCACCCATTAAAGTTTAAATCTAAACCAAATGAAACTACTTTGGAATTAAAATATAGAACCGTTTGTCAAGAAACTTGGCGTTGGTTAAACGAATACTGGTCACTGTACAATCTTTCTTATTCAAAGGTGTGTTTTGTTATTTTCTAGTGTCAGAAAGTTTGAGAATGATTACTTTGATTTTTCTGGACGCTACCTACAGATGGCTTTTGTACACAATATCTTTTTATTTGTTTTCTGCATCCATACACTATGTATCGTTACGTTTCATGGGTATGGTCAGTTTAACATCAATGGCATTCGCGAATTTTTTAACTACCAATGCTAGCATCCCTAATAACTGTATTAACTGTTGTAGCATGGAAAGTTTCTATACTTTATCTAAATTTCTTGATCATTAGTGCCTGGTGAATGTAAGTTAAAGAGTAAACCTATTGTTTGTCATCTATGATGATCAATCTACTCTTAATTTCCAATTCAATAATGTGTAGTTTTTGCTCTACAAACAACTGGTTAAGATGAATTTTATTACTAAAGAGTTTGACTTTTGGAAGATCTGACATTGATCAATCCTATATGTTTTCTATATATATTTTTCTTATATCGTTAAGCCTTTTTAGGTATCAGTTAAAAGCTGTATCGTTCTTGTATACATAGTGTACAATGTGTTGTGTTAGTTGTTATCGAAAAACCCCATTTTCATGCCTAAAGTAGAGTTGGTTCAGTGATCAGATAATTTTTTTGTTTTGGTTGCACACTCAAGTTCTGTTGTGTTGATAGATTGTATTGACAAACTTGACTGACCATCGTTGTTCATTCACTCATTCACAATTACTGATAAAGTCAAAACGATAATTTACTTTAGCATTTTACTACTGAAACGGTTAGCACTTGTTTTATTAATTAGCCGTATATACGTTTTAAGGGAAGTACGTCTGAAGATTGTCAATTTACGAGATGAAATACCCCGATCGATTGATAATATGCGAAGTTACTGTGTTCCTGAGTAATGACTGTCTTACACGCTACACAGTTCAGCTATTTAACTACTTCCTCATCGTGGTCGTTATCGCCTAATTTTTGACATCACGTTCGCTATTCTAGAAACACATCTTCAATCAATTTGAAAGTTTTCCTTCAGAATCTCCACATTGGTTGCCATGATTATATTCGACCACATGTTATACAATTCTCCCATACTTATCTGTTTTTCTAGCCAGTTTTGATCGATAAATAACTTTCTGAATATCGGATATTTGGTGTATAAATTTACTTCAAATAAATATGTCCACTATCTCCAGGTTGTAAGTGGCTGCAAATTATCTGGATTGGTGTCAAAACCAATTTAATTGACAGAATTGAACTGTGATTGATTATCGAAACAATGTGAATTCTCATCGGTTATTCGACGTTCTTGTTATCTTAGTGTTTGTACTTCATTTAGTGTAGATTATTATCCTCTTTATTCGATCGAAATTATTAATTAAGTAATCTCTGTGATCTACGTAAAGCTCTGGCCAACTGGTTTGAGTACAAATGAGATATTCTGTCATCAAACAACTGTCTTTTAGTACGGTCATCATTGGTGGTTTCATCAAGTTCCTTGTGAAGTGTACAAATATTTTAGGTTTATCAACTTCCTTATAACTAAATACCTTTTTGACCTAGGTTGTCAGTATTTTGAAAGTAGGTACACATGATGGTAAGGTAGATCTTTATGCAAATCTTTATTTCAATAGTATTTACACAAAATAGATATTATTATGATCGTTTTGATTTCTCTGCGACTAATATAGTTTTTTCATAGTTGAAATCATGAGTCCATTGAAGCTAGATCACCATGGAAAACCTGGAAGCACTGGACGGCCGTTTCGTCCTATTGTGGGAATCCTCAGCAGTGCTTCTAGGTTTTCCCTGGGAGTCTAGTTTCAATTGACTTATTATTTCAACTATGAAAATACTGAAATCTCCACTAAACCCCTTCTGATCTATAATATAGTTTTGTTAAAGTTTTGTACATGATATAAATACATTATATCCTTATTATCATCACCATTATTCTCATAGGCGAAAAATGCATTTTTAGAAAAAGAGATGAAAAATATTGAAAATAATCCAACTGGACATAAGATACCAGATATGGGAGTATTTCATCGTGAATTTTTGGAGGCCAATAAAAAGCAGAGGATGGATTTCAATCTGTATGTCTTTTTTTGGTTCGTTCAATAAAATCTAGAAAGCTGTTCCTTCTTTTTACATTAAGCCTTGATTTCTAGTTGACTTTTATTTCCTATGATGCTTTTTAGTTTTAGTTACTTATATACTACTCATATTGTAGTGAACAAGAACATGAGTGAGTACGATCTAATGTATTTGAGGACAAAATTACAGAATATCTCACTAAAATTTGACAACCATACAGTAAACAGTTAATTTGCAAACTATCAATGAATTACATAGGAATAATATATTTGTAATAATATATTTGTAAAATCTCAGCGAATGATATATCAATACGATATATCAATGAATTGTCTCAATTTTGACTGTTGCTTCTGCCAATATCAGTCCATCGCCTCTGATTTAATCGTTCATGAATTTTCATAGCAATTGCGTTTCGTTATCGATCTTCTACTGAAATACATTCTATGCCTGACTATGGTAATATATGAATCCGGTTTTCTTGTTGTGCTAACGAGGTATGGCAACTTGGACCAATGCATATATGTGCCTGGTCCTACGTTGTAGCTGACTGACTGACTGATTAGTTATGTAGATATAAGTAACCCACACCACAATATTACTGATGTGTCGTAATACTAACGGTGATATTTTTTTGCTTCGATTCAGATATCTGGATAACATATTTCTCTTTTCTCTCTTCACTTTAACTTATCATGAAAATAGTTTTATAAGGATGATATATCGATAGACATCAAATAAGATTGATCCCAGTAAAGTCAGTCAGTTATTCAAGCAAACATCACATGCCTATGAATATATCTACGGAAATTCTAAAAATAGAGTAAACACTTGGCATGCTAACAGTGTAACCGGATAGTATGAAAATGATGTCTTTATCAGTGGTAAAAATTTAAGAGTTTTGGCTCGATTTAATGGAAATTCATATTTATAAAATCAAGGTTACAAGAAAAAGGTAGGTTGTTTTCAGGGAATTCAACATTCTCGACAGTTAGGTTGTGTGACAAATGATACCTTGTGATTACTGTTTTACCGATTCAATTGTGCTCTTTGGTATTATTTCGTGCATGGTAAATGATTTGGTTGAACTTCATATTAGGAAACACTATAATCCGAACTTGTCACATCAATAATTGAACCGTATTGTTCAGTAGTCAGTGGTCTTGATTAAAACGTTTAGAACAATAGGCGGGATATTTTAAGGAGCAGTTCAGCTGGCCTAAAGGCTAAAGTTAGTCTAAAACGAGGGAGAGCAGCTGGTCCATATGGATTGGCACCAGAGGTCTTTAAATATGATGGTCCAATTCTAGCGATTAGGTTGACTAATATTTTAGCTAAAATCTGGGAGTTGGACGTAATCCCATCTGACTGGTCGCAATTACTGATTGTTCCAATAAGTAGGAAAGGACCAAAATCATTCTGTGATAACCATAGAGGGATTAGTTTGACTAAGATGACATTTAAAATACCAGACTCAATAATTATCGGGCGCCTAACTAAAACTCGTGAACTCCAAACGCGAGAAAATCATTCTGACTTTAGACCTGATCGTAGCTGTATCGACCACATATTCACTATTTGTCAGGTTTTAGAACACAGACATGTTTATCGGCGTCCGACAATTATAGTTTTTTTTACTTGAAAGCATCATTTGAGTCTGTAGACCGAGAGGTTTTTGGCAGTGTTTGTCATTGAAAGGTGTACCTCAGAAGTATATAGACCTTGTGAAGGCTCTTTACTCAAACACTACCAGTGGAGTGAGAGCTTATGGCGAACTGTCGTCTAATTTCACAACCTCAAGTGGTGTCCCGCAAGACTGCCCACTATCTCCATTTCTGTTTAATGTCATCCTGGACCTGCACCTGGAAATAACGTTCTCGTCGACTGAATTTTCGGGGACTGATCTCCTTCCAGGTCGACTTATCGACTGGCTTTTGCCAACTTACGTCGCCTATGGCGAAGGCGAGGTATCCGTCTATCAATAAAAGAATGAGTAGACTGCGCGACAGTTCGTTCTGTTCTGCTTTATGGCTGCAAAACGTGGCCGTTAAAAGTAGAAGATACTCATGAACTACTAGTATTTGATCACAGATATCTTGGAAATATTGTTTGTGTCTGCTGGGATCACCGAGTAAGTATACCTCAGTATTAACTACAAATTATCTGATAGAATTCAATCATGTTGAAAAACTAGACGAACATGAATTTGGTTACAACGCAATGATCAATAAGTGTAAATATATAAGTTTTATAGAAGATTAGTTCCAATCCAAAGGGCTCAGTAGTAACGACTCAGATAGGTTTGAATTTCATAGGGTGTCAACTACTACTACCAATAATAATAATTTCAAGTACATTTTTATCAAAGTATCAGATAGCATGAAACTTTGGTCCAACCCCTATAACTGATCGTCTCCAATCACATGATACGCCTAATAATGCATCATTGTAGAAGTTACCCTGATTGTTCAAGGTAAATTGCTCACACGAACTATATATTTTATCTAAATATGATTTTAATCTCAACTATTCAAATATCTCCATCAATTTAGTAGTTATAACCTTTGAGATAGTGGAGAAGATTTGTAGCTCAGGTGGGTGATTTTGATGTTGGTTTGTTCTCTGAGCTGGATGGTTTGGTCGTGGAGCTTTCATCGTCCTTCTGAACGACATCATCAGCACAAACTTCGGGTAGAAGTGAAGTGTTTGAGTTATAACCTTTGAAAGAGAAAAGCATGAAAGTCGATTTCTATTTTCTTAGCATTCAGAACTATGTGTTGAGATATTAGCGCAATACAGTTCAAGCAATCTGATCATACATATACTTGTTAAGAACACTTATATATAAAAATAAAAGGTCAACTAGAATGGAAATGGCGGGCAAGAGGAGACAAGGACAATAATAATAATAATGTGAAAACAATTTGAAACCTAATCACTCAGAATAATAAACTAATGTTACCAGGGTAGGTTTAAGATGAGAACAAACTGTTTTTGAATACACTTGGATCTTCCCATCGATGTGTTTAGGACTGCAACTGGTCGAGTCCCAGAGTGAACATCAACTCTGAGATGCAGGTACATCCAGCTGACGAGTCCCAAATAGGACGAAACGCGCGTCCTGGATTCCACTGCTAGCCACTATCCATCTCTGCTTACCATGTTTTTGAATATACAACAAAGGGGGGTTTGAATTTTCGTATCACATAGTTCTGATAATCTTCGTCTTCTTATTACACTATCGAAATTTATCAAAGGGACTAATTACTTTAAATTCACTGTATAATTCATCATTAACACTATCATCTTGTGAAAGAATGTTTTCATAGTTGAAATCACGAGTTAATTAAAGCTAGACCACTATGGAAACCCTGGACAGCCGTTTCGTCTTATTGTGGGACTCCTCAACAGTGCGCATCCATGATCCCGCCTCGCGAGATTCAAACCTACCAGTCTCGCGCCAGTGCACTTAACCGCTAGACCACTGAGCCGGCTGGCATCCAACGCTGTTAATGTCTAACTTCAACCAATCCACGAAGTTTGAGCAACCGTTCACTAATTGTCTTCAGTGAGTTGATATCTCACAACAGACGTGGTTCGAACTCCACCGGTCACTGCTTCCCACTAGAACTCCAGGAAACATCCCTTGAAGTCAGTCACTAGTAAGCATATGATTATAATCAGAAGGAATTCCACAATAGGATAGAACAGCCGTCCAGTGCTTCCAGGTTTTCCATGATGATCTAGCTTCAATTGACTCATGATTTCAATTATGAAAATACTGAAATCTCCACAAAACCCCTTGTGAAAAGAATTTTTTCTCAATATTGTATATAATGTTGCTATGTTTATTTCTATTAACTGATAAAGTGTTCTTTCTTTCTTTCTTTCCTTTGTTTTTTTTTTCTCTCATTATATAGTAAATGGTATCGTTCTATTGTTTATATTGTTTATTTAAGTATTTTGGTCGACTTACAACAACTGTATCATCGTTTCTATGCTAGATTTTCTTCCAAATTAAATCAATATAAAAATGTTAATAATAATAAGAAAATAAAATGAAATCATTGGATCATATAATTGTATTCATGAGATCACTTTAATGATTTTTTTTATGTATATATACTTTATTAGAAATGAGAGTAAACTTTTATCATTATTGGGGATTAATGGAGATTATATTATTTTCATTTGAATTGATGATTTGATGTAAACACTGTTGAATACTAGGTCAATGATGTAGAGGTTAAACGTTCGTGAGTGTGACTAGTTCACAGAAAGTAATTAAATAAGTCAAAGTAACTTCGGTTTGTTTCGCAGGTTATTTATTTATCTAAATACATTATTATTAGTACAAGGGTGTACCAGATATATATACGCCACACAAATCTCATTTGATATGTGTGGGGGCTGTGATACTGCCCAGGTGCCGAAAGTGAAGCAAGTGGTTTTCTTAGGAGAACCCGGAGTTTTTGACCTAGAGGCCTGATCCACAAGACAGTGGAGCATCGTGAGAAGTTGTAGTCTCATGGTAGCCGGTGACCAACAATTTATTCATACGCCATTTGTTCCCTCAGGATACTGGAGTCACCCCATGTGCACCATTGGTTTGGAATCTGGGTTTTCCAACTTCCCTAGGTGGTTTCCGTGTCTACCAATTCGGTTAAAGCACCGGACATTCGCTTTTCGTCTTCTCAATTTTGTAAGCAACACCCCCGCCGCAAGAAGGCAGTGAGTAGGACTTCCCTGGCAGAGGCTATATACGCGTGGCCATATGAAAGCATTTGGAAAGGGAGAGCGGACTCTCCCCCACTTTCAGCCGTACCAGGGCATTTGGGGGCTTTAGTAGTTTATTTTTTTGTTTTATAAGATTAAAAATGTTAGGTGATGTATGCTATTGATAGGGTCGATAGGATTCTCGTTGTCAATCCTTTATTTTCATAAACAGACTTCTGAAATAATCATTATCGCATGCTTATTAGTATGTTCTATTTGTAGACATCTCAATGCAAAAGTCTGTAGTCAATTAGCAAATAGTTATATTTCAACCTGAGAACTTAAACCCGGTATCACAACAGGCGTACTGTTCTACAATGAAAGAAAGAGGTATATCAATTCACCTTTTTCACCAAGTAATCCGAATGTTCTAACATAGTTACATAGAATTCCGTATGATTATATACGTTTTACAGATTTCTGGGATTATTTTTGTGGTAATCCATCAAATTTTTTTAGGAGTCAGAAGTCTGCACATAAAGATGTTTGTGTACTGAATTTTGAACCTCAATAACTAAATAAAGTTCATATATGAAGTGATTTTGGGGAGTTTATTTCAATTTTTAGGTAGTGTTCGTCAGAATAACAGCAGTTAAGGTACCATTAAAAACCATATAGGATAGGATGGTTGTCTACTACAAAACAGTTTTTTTATCAGTGCTGATCTATGATCCGGTCAACATACCAATGGTTAAGTCCCCTACTGCATGACCTAAACGTCCTGGGCTTGATGTGGGCGTGTGCCTCTGAAAGACACCATACAAGAACGAAATATCCGTTCGGAATTTAATGCTTCCCTGGGACACGCCGACTGAGGTCAATCAGGGATTATTATCATCTTCAGGATGAATGCTGTGTTTAGTGTCATAAAAGTCTTGGTACCTAGGTAACTGACTTACCAGATGGCCATAAAAAACTTGCGCTTCTATTCATATTTTCATGCATGAGTTCGACCATAATTGGAAAAGGACGGCTTCTTGATTACTACGATCCTGGTAAACAAATTACTTCTTATTTGTGTACAGTTGAGTATTCATTCGAAAAACTAATCTACATTTGTAATTTTTAGTGATACAAGTCTTGACCAATCATCAGGCCGGAATTTTCATTTTAATTCATGACACCTATTTCTTTCCTTAATCTTTTAAGATTCGGAGCAATTATCTAAAATGAATGTTAATAGCTCGAGTAATTTTCAAGACGACTTGCTCATTGTACATTGGTACCCATTTTATATATGGTGCAAAGAAAAGATCATTTACATAAGGTTATTGCTTGTACACTAAGTTTTGATAATCATCTGAGATAACATAGATTTCAAAAAACTAACTAATTGTATTCACCTTTTTGTCCAATGTGATTCAATCAAAGTTTGGAAAAATACTTAATATTTTGAAACGTTGTTCAAACAGCCAAGGATAATTAAATGAGTATCTTTAAAATCCAACCAAATGTTTTAAAAGTCGGATAGCTATATGATCGATTGAGTTCATTCTTCATAAAACGTTTTAATGATACTGTATTGTATGCTACTTATGCTGACAGATATAAGTAATATTTAGCAGCAATCGGAATTGGAATCTCTACCAGCATAAGATTGATTTGAGGAGAATAGCAATTAGAATAACGACAGAATTGTAAGAACTATAAAGTTTGTAAAGGACAACTGAAGGAAGATGAGTAAATAATCTATTTAATGTGTGATTTTCATATTTTACTGAGGTACTGTAGACAAATATAAATTGGTTTCCCCGCTGAAGTACTTGTTCATTAGAATGCAAATGTTTATTGATTAATAAGTCGGTTTTATTTGTAAGTGGACGGTATTGTATAGGTGTACGTGGTTTCAGATCGGTCATAATTTGGAGAAATATATTGCGGCTTAACGTTATCAACAGTTAATTAATAGCCCGCTTCACTTAGTACCTTATGTATGTGAATAATTACACAATGAAAGTATCAGGGGAATACGAAGACATGCTACTGGATAACTTAAGAAACAACTCTGAGTACTGTTTAGCTAGTTAGACTGTGGCCACACAACTATTTAAGAAAAAACCCAACTCAGTTTCAGAGTTGTGAGGAATTCATCTTCCGGTTTTTCGAGGCTCTGATTATCCAAAACGATCCAGCTGTGAGTATTTTGTTTGATAGTTAAAGTTTCACAATAATTATTCTTAATATTATTACCAAGGATAATAGTCTAGAGTTGAATTTAGTCAACCAATTATCTTCTTTGTAACAGCTAGCACCAAATGTAGGTTCAGTGTTTTCCTACTAACTACCACCGACTTATCTAACATCTTATTACTCAAATTGATATAGATTACTATTTTAGGTTTTCATGACCCTAATGTACAGGATACCACTAATTTTACCACGCTATCCAATTGGTCATTTTCATAGAAGTACACACTAATAGTTTTATCACGGTAAGAACGAAAAGGTACTCGTTACTTTTACAACTCAGTTCACAGCTAATATATCCAGTTTCAATTCTCTTTGTAATACAGTGCAACTACAAAAAGTAGGAAAGAACCGATCGGATTTGTGATGATAATTCTGGGGTTTGTGCACGAAATTCATCTATCCATAAGACCAGATAAGACAATATAGCTGATGTCAGTTCGATTTGAAAATCCTAACTTTAATTTCTTGTCCTCACTTCTAACCCCAAATGCCAATCTTAATCGCTAACCCAATTTTGAACAGAATAAGCGCTTCAGGTTTGAAAGGATTATGTTTAGAATTCCCCGAGATCGTCTCTTTACTTTGGTTCCACCCACAATAAATATAGCTATGAAAACTCTATTAATGCATGAAGATACATTTTTCGGAATATGCACCGGAAAGGCTTAGATCTCGTCATTATTATTAGCGACTTTTTAGTTATTGGAAGCTGGTGAGAATTCCTGGAAAGAGTATTCAGAAGCCAGGTGAAGGTTTTATATACCTCTTTGAGTTGGCATTCAGTAGAAATTCCCCGGAGTTATAGAAATTGTGTCATGCCCTGGTTAAATAATTGCCAATTTTGTAACTGATTTAAGCACACTTCCTGAAACGTCTAAAGTATCAAAGTTACTCGTAAGCCTATTAGTATCTTTTTTAATTTACATAAGTTTGCTTTGAAAGTAAGACTTGTCATACTTATCACATGTTCTCTTTCGTGTGGACTTCAAGTATAAAAAAGTTGCTAGTTAAGTAAAGGTTCACCAGCTTGGCCTTGGGTTACCAGGTTGATGAAACTAAAACAGGTGTAGTAGGACTTGAATAGGCTTTTTTGTGGCTGCAACCTCAGTGTTATATTTACAGATCACTTAGTCTTCAAAGCACTTATTAGTTTTTCTTACAATATTGTTTATGAAGTGTAGCATTTTATTAAAGGTATATCACCAACAATGTTTGACTTCCTTTTAATTGAGTACTATTTGGTCAAGGTTTATAAACAAGTATGTGCTTGCAAGTGATGTTTTTAAAAGCAGGATTTGGAAAACTGGGATGGAACTCTAAATTATCATGAGAATTGACTTAATAAAGTTTACCATATAAGAATGTACTTCTAGGTAGAACTACCTGGTTCGGAACTTCATGGTGTTTTCATGTAAAATGCAGACACCGATTCTGGGATACGAGTACATCCAGCTGACCAGTCCCAAACAGAGTGAAACGCAAGTACTGGATTTCACTGCTGGCAACATGCCATCCATTCTACGTATTTAACAATATTTTCATCGAATTAGTAATTTTGAAATAAATCACTCTCATCATTCAATAGTATTCAACATACTTACTGACTCCTGTTACTCCCAATGGAGCATAGGCCGCCCACTAGCATTCTCCAACCCACTCTGTCCTAGCCCTTCCTTTCTAATTCTATCCAGTTGTTGTTCATTTTCCTCATGTTTGTCTCAATTTCTCGGTGTAATGTGTTCTTTGGTCTTTCTCTTCTCCTTTGACCTTCAGGATTTCATGTGAGGGCTTGTCTTGTGACGCAGTTGGGTGACTTCCTCAATGTGTATTCTATCCACTTCCAGCGCTTCTTCATCGGTTGGAATCTGGTTTGTTGTCTCCCACAGCAGCTTGTCGCTGATATTGTCTAGCCAACGGAAGTATGTAACATGTAGATGTAAATTTTTTAAAATTTATTTCTTTACCACCTATACACTTATACCTAACAAGTTCTTAGTTTATGTCATTGCTGATTGTCATGAGTTATGATGCCACTGATTTCCCATGTTTTGCTAATTCAAACAAAGAACTAGCACCTCAACTCCAGACCCGGAGCGGCGCTGGTAGAATAGTACCCTCTCTCCTCCTGGTTGGCAGCAACAGAAAATGTCGTGAACAAGAACACGACTGGGGACAATCGAATGTATCTATGCACAAACTACAGACTATTTCACTAAATTCTGATAACCATACAGTCAGCAGTTAATTTGCAAAATAACAATCAATCGTCTCAATATTAACTGTTTCTTCTACAAATATCAATCCCTCTTCTCTGATTTCATTGTTCATGCATTTTCGTACCGATTGCGCTTCATTCCTGTTCTCTCCTCGATCTTTTGCCAAAATACATTCTGTCTGACCATCACCGTATACTACTCATGTGGATATAAGTAGACCACACCACAGTAATGCTGACCAACCTCTGAAGTCAAGAATACTATTTACAAGTAGCAGGATTGAACTTATCATGTTAGTGAATTATCGTGATAAAGAGCATATTACTAACCTTAATTATATATTAATTAATTTTTAATGCTATATATTATTAGCAAAAGTCTGTATTATCCGATTTTTGATGTTTAGAACTGACTTTCTATCGTACTTTGTCAGCATATGTTACAACTAAGTGAATAGCTAAAATCAGCAGCTCAATGTGAATATAAACACTTGTACGCAGGTACACACACATTTTATATAGTTGAGATCGTGAATCAATTGAAGCTAGACAACCATGGAAAACCTGGAAACACTAGACGGCTGTTTCGTCCTATTTTGGGACTCGTCAGCAGTGAGCATCCACGATCCCGCTTCGCGAGACTCGAATCCAGGACCTACCAATCTCACGTGTACGATGGAAGATGGTCGCGCAATTTCGTGGGTTGATTGAGGTTAGACATTAACATCGTTGGATACCGGCCGGCTCAGTAGTCTATCGGTTAAGTGCTCTGGTGCAAGACTGGTAGGTCCTGGATTAGAATCTCGCTAGGCAGGATCGTGGATACGCACTGCTGAAGAGTTCCACAATAGGACGAAACGGCCATCCAGTGCTTACAGGTTTTCCATGGCGGTCTATCTTCAATTGACTCACGATCTCAACTACATAAAATTACTAAAATCTCCACGAAATCCCCTTCTGACACACACATTTGATGAGACAAAAATAAAAAAAAAACTCTAGTTTCTACAACTAATCACAATCCATATTAAGCTAGCTAATATGCTTTCTATTTTTTTAAAGAAAAATGAGGATGAGTATAGCATAACACTTAAGCATATTATAATATTCATCCCATATAACTCGTTATTTATAGTAAACATACGGCTATCTTCTGAAATATGCCTAAAGGATTACCTTTCATCTCATTTGTCCAAATCTGAACTAAAGACAAACAAACAAACAGATTTATTGGGTTACAAAATTATTCATATAACGTATAAGTTTTGATTGGTCAATATAATTTTTTTAATAGGCATAGCAACAAGTTTTTACATTTCATCATTATTTTTATTATTTAGTAAACAAATGACTGCATTACATAATGTAAGTATATCATATTTTTCAATGTTCAGGAACATATTTTAAATAATTGAAAGCGTGAGTCAACTGAAGCTAGACCACCATGGAGAACTTGGAAGCACTGGACGGTTGTTTCGTCCTATTGTGCTTCCATGGTGGTCTAGCTTCAATTGACTCACCCTTTTAACTATGAAAATACTGAAATCTCCACAAAAACCCCTTTCTGATAACATATTTTAAACCTTGAAATCCAAGATGATTATGATATTAACGTCTGTGAATCGTTTTTTTTTATAAGCAAAGATGGATAGTGGCTAGCAGTGGACTCCAGTTTGACGCGCGCCACTTCGTCCTATTTGGGACTCGTCAGCTTGATATACCTGCATCTCAAAGTTGATGTTCACTCTGGGACTAGAACCAAGTACCTTTCGCTTCAACCGCCATTATATTATCCAATTAGCAGGCACATCTAGCTGATGAGTCCCAAATAGGATGAAACGCACGTCCTGGATTCCACTGCTGACCACTATCCATATTTGCCTATAATGCTTATGAATTAAGGCTATATCGAGGCAATACACACAGTATGCATATATGCCAATAAGAGACTGACTAGTTGCAGTCCTAAAAACATCATTGGAAAAATTCAAACAAACAATACTTAGTGAATGTTTACGTTTTTTTGAATTTTCCCTTTTAGAAACGTTCTGTAATTGATACGCATTGTCATCTATGTGAATCTATTTTTGACAAAGTAAGTTGATCAAATTGATAAATTTTTCTTTCCCTTCAAAAAATCTGTACTGGTTAATGTTTGTGTTTTTTGGAATTAGCCTCTTATTGTATCATTTAGGCATTTTATTTTAAGTAATTAATGAGTTATCATGTATGTTAGTAATGAATTTGAATGTTTATGATCAGTAAATTGATAGATGACTTAGAGATTAAAGAGTTCGACTTTCAATCATTAAGTTACCGGTTCCAAACTACCTCACTAGACATCATACTCAGGACTCGTATCTAAGTATAGTAAGGTTTACCCGGTAACTTAATTAAAACATTTAGCTTTCAACATTTAAGTTTCTAGTTTCAACTTGGAGACATTTAATTCAATTTGAATTGCAGGATATTAACACTATCCTTCATTTAAACGTAATTTGACTGTAACCTAATAAATAAAGTAGACTCATAGTAAACTGCTTCCAGTCTTTTCATTACATTAATGACAAAAAGAAATATTCATTTGGTTAGAAATTATGATACTCTTTCCTAGAGAAATATTACATTTCATTTCACGTCATTATAAAGTTAGATTCTATGTATGTCCATCGTAGAAGTGAGAATAATACACCAAAATAATATCCCCTTGTTGACTAATTATTCTAGAATTAGTATTCGGATATTTTCCTTGTTTTTGTTAAACAATTAATAGATGGAGTGAAGATTGAATGTTTTATTCAATCTTATTTACTTACTTACTTACTTACGTTTATTATTCCCAATGGAGCATAGGCCACCGAACAGCATACTCCAACCCACTCTGTCCTCGGCCTTCCTTTCTCGTCCCATCCAGTTTTTGTTTATTCTTCTCATGCCTGTCCCCCTTTCTCATAGTAATGTGTTCTTTGGTCTTCCTCTTCCCCTTTAGCCTTCAGGATTCCATGTGAGTGCTTGTCTTGTGACACAGTAGGGTGACTTCCTCCATGTGTGTCCTATCCACTTCCAGTGCTTCTTTCTGATTTCTTCCTCCACTGGAATCTGGTTTGTTGTCTCCCACAGTAGCTTGTTGCTGATAGTGTCTGACCAGCGGATCAGAAGTATCTTGCGTAGACAACTATTGATAAACACTTGTATCTTCTGAATGACGGCTTTCATAGTTCTCCGCGTCTTCGCCCCATACAGTAGAACTGTCTTGACATTTGTATTGAAAATTCTGATCTTGGTGTAATCTTACTTACGCCTATTACCCATCGTGGAGGAGTATAGGCCGCACATCAGCATTGTCTATCCAACTCTATCCTGGGTAATCCTTTCCAGTTCTTTCTAGTTGTTATTCACCCTTTTCATATCTGCTTCTATTTTTTTTATTCAATCTACTAGGTTTATATTAATTTTAAGGTTAATGACATATTATTCTATCAAATTAGTATGGGTTATGTTAGGCAACTTCCATGTTTGTTTTTTGTTTTGCGGTTTGATTTGTAAAAGTTTTCATCGGTTACAAGTTTATTAGTAAATATTATCAGAAGGGGTTTCGTGGAGATTTATTATTTTCATAGTTGAGAGCGCAAGACTGGTAGGTCCTGGGTTAGAATCTCGCCAGGCGAGGTCGTGGATGCCCACTTCTGAAGAGTCCCACCATAAGACGAAAAGGCCGTCCAGTGCTTCCAGGTTTTCCATGGTGATCTAGCTTCAAATGACTCACGCTTTCAACTATTAGTAAGTATCTTTGTTAAAAATTTTCGGATTTCTGAAACGTTTCAAATTGATGAAAAAACATTAATTGTACTAGTTATAATGTAGAAATGATAATATTGTCAACACTTATACAAATTAGATAGTTAGTGGTTAAATTAAGCATTAAACTTGTAATTTATACGTGCTTAAATAAGTATATATATTGCCCTATATCATTGCTGAATCAGACCATTTGATCAATATATTATTGAAATATTCGCAAAGAGAAGTATGACGGTCGAAAAATCATTATAAGCAGAGATCAATAGCGTCTAGCAGCGGAACCTGTGATGCACTTTTTCTTATCCTATTTTAAATTGCTTAGCTAGAGTTACCTATATCCTAGAGTTGATGTTCACTCTGAGACTCGAACCCAGTACTGTTTGCTTTAAACACCATTGCGTTATTTACTTAGCCACTGAGTCCACGTAGCCACTTGCTTATGCAATGGGGTGAAATTTCATTGAAAGCATTAGTCAATTGAAGCTAGACCACCAGGGAAAACCTGGAAGCACTGGACGGTAGTTTTTGTCCTGTTGTGGGACTCCTCAGCAGTGCACATCTAAGACCTCGTCCCACGAGATTCGAACTCAGGACCTACCAGTCTCGCGCCAGAGCACTTAACCGATAGACTACTGAGCCGCATCCCTTCTGAAATTTAATTCATTTTTGTTGTCATCTCCCAGCATAGTAGAGTCTCATTACTTTAACATGACATTTATCCAAAAATATAAGTCAAACACCAAGACAAATAATTTTGATAAACTATAGTACATTTATTTTAGATTTATTATTGAAGAAATTGATATTAATCTTATAAACGTTATAAATAGTGTTATCAAGATCACTTAAATCATAATAGCCTTATAGTAACCAACAAACTTGTTTCTGTTATATAATGAATGCTATTGAGAGTTCCTTTACGGCAGTTATCACAAATAGTGTTCATCCAAAAACGAAACGATGTATGTAGTATTTAATTACACTCCATATGTAATCAAAGTATCAATTAGTTACAAATCAAGTTTATTCCCAACTGATGTCTGAGGAGTCCCACAATAGGACGAAACGGCCGTCCACTGCTTCCAGGTTTTCCATGGTGGTCTAACTTCAATTGACTCATGATTTCAACTATATAAAATTAGTAAATCCTCCGTGAAACCCCCTTCTGATGTCTGTCAGTCAGTCAGCTACAAATTAGGACCAGACACATATATACATCGGTCCAAGTTGCCACATCTTATTAGCACAATGAGATGAACACTAAATTTATAGAAGTAGTTATATCAATGGTAGAAATATATAAAAGAAAGATTATTTATAAGGACATAATACAGGAAGAAAGAATTAATTCATAGAAGTAAAGATACAAAGCATGTCACCCATATTCTCCAACCATTGGTTATGATTGTCGCGCGGACCTTAACCAAGTCTGCATCTATCAACATGGCTCAGACTAGAGGTAAGTGGCCTTAAGGAATAATGCCATGTTTTGATCTGGTCACCCCTAACTTTTTTCCATCCATCGCCCACACTAATCAGCATTACAAGTCGTGATAAACGGTATTCAGGCAGTTCATAGAAATAAACTATGAATATTGAATTTAAATATGATTACATTTATATTGTCAAGTACGGTTATATCCGCATCATGATTTGTAATTAAATAAAAATTCATCACTCTATCAATATACCAAATTATTTTTAAACTATCAGTTGATTTTATATAATTGAAATCATGAATCAATTGAAGCTAGACCACTATGGAAAACCTGGAAACACTAGACGACCATTTCGTCCTATTGGGAGACTCCTCAACAGTGCCCATCCACGATCCCGCTTCGAGAGTTGATTATTGAAATTTTAACAGATGTAATAAAGTGACTTTAATGAGATAACCAATAAAAATCACAATATACAGGATAAGATTTTGACTTACCAGCATCACATACACATAACTTTACCAGGAATTAAAACCAGATTTCTTAGGCCTCATAATGTGGTGTGGGTTATTTATATCCATGTAAGTAGTATATGGTGATGGTCAGGAATAGAATGTATTTTGGAAGAAGATCGATAAGGAAAGAACAAGAACGGGACGCAATCAGTATGAAAATATATGAATAATAAAATCAGAGACGATGGACTGATATTTGCAGAAGAAAAAGTTCTGTTTGAGACGATTGATTGATAGTTTACAAATTAACCGTTCACTATATGATTATCAAATTTTAGTGAGATGATGATCTTAACTATATACAATTACTAAAATCTCTACAAAACCCACTTGTGACAATGATCAGATGATCACTAATGACTGACTCCATCAGGTAATTCCTGGACTTCTAGTGAGAAGTCGTGGCCAGTGGAACTAATCCATGTCAGTTAGAGACGGGTATCTACCTCAATACAATGGAAGTTGGTCGCGCTATTTCGGGGGTTGATTAAGGTTAGACATCAACACCGCTGGATTCCAGCTCAGTGGTCTAGCGGTTAAGTGCTCTGGCGCGAGACTGGTAGGTTCTGAGTTCCAATCGCGCGAGGCGGGGTCGTGGGTGCGCACTGATGAGGAGTCCCACAATAGGACGAAACCACCGTTCAGTGTTTCCAGATTTTCCGTGGTTATCTAGTTTCAATTGATTCATGATCTTAACTGTATAAACTTTTAGTGAGATAGTTTGTAGTTTGTGCTCAAATACATTCGATTGTCCCCACTCATATTCTTATTCCCTACAATATTACCTTCAGATGATTAAGCTGATATTTTTAAAATTTCTCTATTCACAACTTGATTCAATTCACTATATTGTTCTAACACCACCATCACTAATATTAATAATAATAATAATACAAAACTTAGACTCAGTTTCTTTGTTGCTACTTTATTTCCTTTGTTACTCTTTATCAGTCTCCAATTCATTTGAGGTATTGACATCGAATAATGAATTTTTTTAATATTTAACTCATCTTCTTCTTAGATTCTTCATTGTTCAGAAAAAAAGAAAAAAAAACGTTACTCTTTTCTTTTAAAGATAAATACCACATTTTGTCCTTTTTTTTCCAAGTCAACAGAGCATTTAATGAAATTCTATTTGATATTAGTATAGATACCATGTTTTAAGGACAAGAGTATTATTATTATTATTATTATTATAAAGACATATATATTAATTAAACATGATATTAAGAAAAATAAATTAAACTTTATTAGGGAAATTATAAGCAAAGATGGATAGTGGCTAGCAGTAGAATCCAGGACGTGTGTTTCGTTCTATTTCAGACTCGTCAGCTGAATGT